TTCTTTTGACCTACTTTGAATATTAATTTCTTAAATTTCACATATTATAACGAGGAATGAAAATTTAATCAGTATATTTCATGATTTACTTCATTAGGTATCACTATCAATCAGCAGCTGCACGCAAGATATTTAGAATAATCCATGATATTTTCTGTAATTATTTATGTCGTATTATTCGTATTAAACTATATTATTAAATTTCATTTTAAATATACAGCGAAATCCATTTAAAGTAATTAAATATAATCATTTTTATCAACCGATTTCATTAAACTTAAGCCAGATTTATGCGGAAAAATAATCGATTTAATTAGCAAAATTTTGATGTAGAATCCTTAATTGGCTTTAATAAATGTTTTAAATTAAGTAATTTAGTTTAAAAGCCCAAAAATCTTCTGTACGTAGAGTAATAAAGTCGATAAATGACATTAACTCCATTAAATGGGTCAGTACATTGATACGTCAATAGCTCATATTTTATCAATTGTTGATGAAGTTTTGTGACATTTTATGCTATTTAAATTTAATTTTTAATGTTTTTAAAGGAAAATATATTATATAAACAATTAGAGCCACATTATTAACCATAGAAAAGGCATTAATCAGCTGGTGTCAGTGTAAAAACACTTGGTCAGCGAATCGACACCCTCACACGAGGTCAACATCCTCTACACAATAAAGTGTCCATCCACCCTTTTATCTTTATCATAAAGTATAGTTTGGAAAGTTTCTGAAAGTCTACGAAATAAATTTCGATGCTATCATTCGACTGTTAATGATATGTTAATTACTCGAGGGGGGAGGACAAAGAAACCAGCGGTGGTGTCTAAAAAAGTTCAGGTTTCTAACTCCCCTTTCCCTCCTATGCTAACTATACATTAAAGTATCCATTTAGGTCAAGACTTTATCTTATATTTGTACTATAAAACTAAGGTATAACCTCTTATATTTTGTGTTAACACGATATCTCAAAGGGTAAAGTACGATAGTGATAAGGAAGAGTGCTACTGCGAGATTTGATAATTATAAATTTATTTTGAAAAGGGAAATGAATTTTGATAAATTTCTATTTAAATTTATATATTGTGCACGATTTCGTGTGAATTTGATAAAATTTTCCATGTACAGTACAGTGAAACCTGCTAATGTGACCACTGGAGGGGCCAGCTCAAACTGGTCATCTAACACAGGTGATTATACTGTATTTGCAGGTTTCATTGTATTTAGTTAAAAATTAGGTTTGTTTTTAGAAAATCTTATACTGTATGTGTAGCATTTACGATTATAATTCTGTATTAATTCTTTTTAATAATCAGATATTTTAATAAAATTATTCGATGATATAGAAAAATATTTCTTGACTTTTTTAAATTATTTTAAAAATTAATTACATTAAAAAATTCGAATAAATTTAGTTAATTGCATTTTATTCGTGAAATTTATTCATTTTTACAATTTATTAATACTTTTCATTTCAAATTATATGTATATTTCAGGTTATAATGACGTAATAATACATATTTCTTATTTCAATTTATTTCAATTTCAGGAGTTAATGACATAATAATGAATTACTTTTTTTTAAAATTAAAAGAAAATTGAATTTTTTAAAAAAAAAAAAATACAAATAAAAATACATTTTTTAAATATCAACTTTATAGAAGAAAAATATATATATAAGATGCATTTCTTCGCTAGTATTTTTACCTTGTTGAACTTTAACTACGAACTGTGGTGTTTACATTTGAAGAGAACATAAATTATAGAAAACGTTTCTATGTTTACAACCATTTTCTTTAGGTTGACCTACATTTGCGTGTCATCCATGCATCGAAGACGGATAGTCCTTTAAGATGATATCCTAATTCTTCCTTACATTTCATATTTTCTGTGCTATTTCTGTACTTTCAAATTAGCAGAGATCTTAACTCTTAATCAGATAAATATTTATAATTAACGGTTGCTAAGTAGCGCGTATAATGAAGTGTGTTGGCAGGAGTTTATGATCAAATTTTGCACGGGTTTTTTGTTTTTTTTTTAGTAATTAGAAGGGTTATTATACGTCGTAAATGTTAAATAAATTTAAAATATATTAAATTATATATAAAAATTAATAGTTAAGTGTAAAACTATAGGAAAGGAATTTGATTTTTTTAATGAGAAATTAACGTTAGAAATGATGCATTTTCTATAAAATTAAATAAAATTATAAATATTGTTGCATAGAAAATAATTGTATAAATGCAAAATCGTTGTATTAGATATAAATGCATTTGATTTTAAATGCTGCACATGGTATAAATGTATTGCATAGCTTAAAAATGCAACATTATTTTTAATAAAGAAAATGTCATTTAATTAATACCGAATTTAAGTATTGCTCGAAGTTTAAAGTTTGCATATTAATGCAAGACTTTAAGCATTTTCCTATGCAAAAAAATAATTGTATGGACCATTTCACGTCTTCCCACTTAACCAACATCCCTAGAATCTACTATAAACTTCAGAAAAAAATTAATAGAGGGTGGGAAGAAACTATTTTATGCAATATTTTAACGAAGAGTGCATTAAATTAATATAAAAAAATCACAAAATTAATTATAAAATAATAGAAATTACGCATAAAAATTCCTCTTATCACACTTAAACTTGCGAAATAGCTACTAAAAAAAGAGAAGAAGAAGAAGAAAAAAACTCAAGTTTAATTAAACTAATTAAGAGAAATGGAAATGATGAAGCTATTTTTAATTAAGTTTATCATTTATTTAATGGAAAGGCATTGGCCTGGTGAGGAAGTTGTCTTGTTCTAATCATTCTCCCAGTGTGACTTATTTTTAGATGATAACGATCCTTGAAACTTTCCACTTGGTATTTAGGTCTCGTGACATACTTCACACTTTGCTCCANACCTGGAAGTTCAACATACATAAGCAGATCCTATCTCAAATAATAATATCATGGGGCCTAGTTATACGTTAATCAATAGGAAGAGCTGGTTCAAACCTTTAATAACGGCCAAATCATGCATTTTCTATAAAATTAAATAAAATTATAAATATTGTTGCATAGAAAATAATTGTATAAATGCAAAATCGTTGTATTAGATATAAATGCATTTGATTTTAAATGCTGCACATGGTATAAATGTATTGCATAGCTTAAAAATGCAACATTATTTTTAATAAAGAAAATGTCATTTAATTAATACCGAATTTAAGTATTGCTCGAAGTTTAAAGTTTGCATATTAATGCAAGACTTTAAGCATTTTCCTATGCAAAAAAATAATTGTATGGACCATTTCACGTCTTCCCACTTAACCAACATCCCTAGAATCTACTATAAACTTCAGAAAAAAATTAATAGAGGGTGGGAAGAAACTATTTTATGCAATATTTTAACGAAGAGTGCATTAAATTAATATAAAAAAATCACAAAATTAATTATAAAATAATAGAAATTACGCATAAAAATTCCTCTTATCACACTTAAACTTGCGAAATAGCTACTAAAAAAAGAGAAGAAGAAGAAGAAAAAAACTCAAGTTTAATTAAACTAATTAAGAGAAATGGAAATGATGAAGCTATTTTTAATTAAGTTTATCATTTATTTAATGGAAAGGCATTGGCCTGGTGAGGAAGTTGTCTTGTTCTAATCATTCTCCCAGTGTGACTTATTTTTAGATGATAACGATCCTTGAAACTTTCCACTTGGTATTTAGGTCTCGTGACATACTTCACACTTTGCTCCACTCATTCTCCATTTAAATATATGAAACTTTGCCTCTTATTATCGTCATTTTGATTGAGAGGAGCTCACTTTATACAGTGTTGAGATTCCCAATATATATATTATTGATATATAGTAATTGTGGACTGCACTAAATCCAAAATGCAAACACGTGCTAGCGGGTATTGATTTTCTAGTGAATAAAATTCTCCAAGATGATAGGTAAGTCTTTTTATATTTATCCAAATTGATTTTCTGATCTCTTATCATCCCAGGATTAATTTTAATCTTTCATGACTTTTACCTGACTTTCTGTTAATAAAATTGCAAATAATTAATTTACTACGCAAGTTAATGAGAGTTTTGTTAGTGTAAGTGACACACCTCCGCCCAAATTTCACTTCCGTTGCTTCTATGTACAGTAAAAACTATAGGTTTATCACAGAATATCGCTCTGTTTTGAAGAATTTGTTCCGTTTTAAATGGGTTTAAGTATTTTTTAATGCTATTATTCCTATAAGTTCTTGAACTTTTTAACTTATTTTACGTAATTTATCCCTCAAATAAACAATATTTTGGGCTCCTCTATACTCGATATTTGGCGCTTAATGTGACCCAAGAACTGACTCTCCCAAATCGCTAAATTTATCACAAATAACTTACTTTATATTATAGTTAAATATTTATTAATTTTACAGCATGATTTGGGCGGAGTTCATACATTTTTACACTTCACTAGACGTGTATTTATGATGGGGGTGTTGATAGTTTATGTATGAATTGACTAATTAATTCCACAGTCCCTCTCGAAACTTGTACTGCAAATTATTTACTATTTTTATATATTGATATATTTACTTTTACAAAGTTTTGAACTTTTAACTAAACTCTGTTACCAGTAAACACAACAGAAACTTGATACTTCGTGTACTTCGATATACTGAACTATTCTAATTTTTCGTACTTGGCCAATCTTTGTACTTATTTATTATTTTTTTAAAAATAATTTTTACGTTATTTTGAGCGGATTTTATGCAGTTTAAATCGCTTAATTTGGGCGGAGTACTTACAATTTTTTGCTGTTCTAAGTTAACACGACATCTCATCTTCTTGAGCATCTTCTTCTTGACATCTCGACATCTCAGCTTCTTGACATCTCATCTTTTTTAAGGTTAATAAATTGATTTGTAATCAAATATTTGTGTAATTTTACAATTAAAACACGTCGAAACCGTATTTAAAACACAGAAAATTTAGGCGGAGGCATCGAATTAAGTAAAAAAATAGAAAAATTTAACGTTAGAGTAATGTATAAATTCAAGTGTTATAGATCCATCTAAGTTATTTATTATGATTTATGTGAAAAGTCAATTTTATGTGAAGTGTATACATGAAAAATTCATGTATTGTAAACACGTTTCCTGTTTGAATTATTGCATCGAAATCATTGTCATGTATTAAAGCAGGGACCAAATAATCTACAATGACTTTAAATGCAATTTACATGAAATATTCCACATTAAAATTGATATAAATTATTTCGTGTGGCGTGTTTTATGTGATTAACTTCTGTATTACCATTGTTTTTAAACGTTAACTCCATCAAGTCTTTACATAAAAATGTTTTATATAAATATTGCGTTTGGAGATAATTAATTAGACTTGGCGCAGAATGTTTATATTCATCATAAACTTGACACGTAGATATGTAAGCTATACGCCAAGTATAGCATATATATCAAAGATTTTCATATAGATACTTGGCGTATGATACGTATATTAATTACATAATATTAGCATTAAATTAACGCATAGTTTATGCATATATGGTAACATAGATTTTACATATTCGAGATTTGATGCCATGTTTATATATAAACCACTTGGCTCATAGTTTATATAGTAAAGTTTGAGGCAGAGTTTACTTGGCGCAGAATTTATATAAAAGATCTCGCGTATGTATACATGTAAATAAACGTATTATAATTAAGACAAATGTAATTATATAGAAATCGTGGGATGATTATTATATTTCAACAACTTTAAAATTAATCACAATTTATACAATATCCATCTTTAATCCACTATTGACGTAACAGTAATTACCACTTTAATCTCAGTAAATTAGAATTATCTGTATATATATATATAANATTAAATATATATATATATATATATATAAACTATACTTCTGTAACTAATTAAACAATATAATATATATATATATATTTTTTTATTTTAAATTCATTACGCACGACGCCATTTAAATTACTCAGTATACGTAATTAAAATTTAATTGCATATTTTGGACCGAAAGTCGATCGTAAAGTTAGAAAAACCAAGTCATTTTCTGTCTTGGCAACGATCAGACATCCAGATGTTCGCTTTTCTCGCTTAGAATCCATGTTTTGAATTCTTTATGAGTAGTTTCAAGTGTTGTAGCGTGGAACGATGGCTTATTTCTGGGTACAGTGTTATGTGTATCGAAGTAATTGTACTTAATTTAATTATTATGGGGTCGAAATATGTCATGGTGACGTGTTCTTTGATACGTTACCTTGACAACGGGACCGACCTTGGGTCATCTTTTTTCCACATCTCTTAACACGTGTCACCATTCAACCTTGAGTATAATGCAGTAAAACGTTTCCTTCGTCTATTCATGTGGCCACTGTATAATAAAGAATTTATGAAAGTAAATTAAAGTAGTATTTTTATTATATTTAGTTTTTCCTTTAGTAATAATTCGATACTGATTCACGTGCTTAGAGGCCCTCAATTATGGGAAAAACCTAAGCACGTGATGCACATGTCCCCCCCCCAGTGGTTTGTTGCAAAAAGGGCAATTGTCTGGGGACCTGAAAGAAATCTTTTATGAGAAATTTCCGTAAAAAAAATTCTTCCGAAGAAAAATGCCTGAAGTAAACACTAAATGGGCATCCTAATTCAAATTCGCCGGGTTCCATGAAGATGTAACGCGCCCCTCGGGACGAGGAGGAAGCACTTTTACTGTTGCTATTGTATATTATACTGATTTCATAATTCTATAGCTACAATTATTAGTTTACGAGTCGCAAATTATGTAGAGGGGCCCCAATCTTCAGTGCCTAAATGCCCCGCAGGTCTTAATCCACAGCTGCTCTGAATATTGTATTAAACAGTCGGTGTGGAGTTTCTATATTGAATACTACAATCGACTTAACCGTGGGGCCTAGGGGGCCCTCTATCTTTGTACATGAATAAATTTAAAAAATCAATTTGAATGCTATAAACTCAATTATACGCGTGTATATACAATAACTAAGTGCTAATGGCCTCATTCATAGTGGTATTAGGGCCTCCCCTTTAATTTCACTGTGAATATTCTCTTGCCCCTAACTTTTCAGTGTTATATTGGGGCCTTCTCTTGTATTGTCTCGCCTCTTCACTTATATTGAAGACTTGACACGTGATAACATATACACACGAAAGAAAATTAAAACTACTAAATTATTTAATTCATCATAATTAATTATTAAGTGTGACTTAACAAACGTAACTTCAATTACTTTAACGATAGAAGATAATATAAATAAGTGAATTTAATATTAAAAAAGTAAATAATATAATTTTATATGTATTTTTAGAATTACATCCCGCAAGTTTTGTTTAGAAACAAAACGTAGACTAAACAGAATATAAAATTCTTTGTTGTTACAATAACAGAATTCCTCAATACTTTACACACGTTTAGTGTTAATGAAAGCCAGTTTTTTAGTATAGAATTAACGCGAAATGTTATGTCTTTTAGTTTGAAATTAACGTGAAATTTTCTATTCATTTTAAAGTAAACTTTTTATTTCTAGTCATATTCAAAATGTTTGGAGAGTGTCATGAAATCACAATTGAATGTTGTGTGATGCCAGACTGTGTCATCCATGGCTGACGAATCTGGGCTCATTGTCGACATAACACCAGAACTGCAAAGAAACCAAGAATGCAAGTCGTCGCCTGTAAGTCCTCAATATATTATTCTACATTCACATAAAATGACTTATTTTAACATAATAATAATATAATTTTTCAAAGAAATTCGATTAAAATGCATTCTACATTTAAAAATAATTCATCTTAATATAATGGAACCTCTAATAACGACCACCTCTAAACAGCATTCATTTGAGGGAACTGTTATTTAATTCATATAAAAAAAAAACCTCTCAACGGAGGCCACCTCTAAACACACTTTCAAGAACTTTTTTAAATAACCTCAGTATTTTTCCAGTATTTTTTTCAAAACGCATACAATGTAACCTCCAAACTACGACCACCTCCGAGCCACGGACATTTCTTACGTTTTCTTTACAGGCCGTTGTTCGCAGGTTAGACCTGTGTAACTATAATGTTATTTTATTTATATATTTCGGTTAATAATATACAATTCTGAACGTTAAAACGAAGTAACTGCGTATGATTTTATGAGTAAATTTAAATGCTAAGAACGGAGAGAAAGAATTCGAATAAATTTTTTTACTATTATAAACACAGTAAATAGCGTTAAAATTCTATAAACAATTTACTTAAACAGTAAAATTTAGTATTATTTTTTTTTTCCTCCCCGTTTTAGTGTCGAAATTTAATTAGTTTCGTGTATAATGCTAAGGAATTTTGCATGAAATCTAATTAATTCAAAGAGTTACTTTTAATAATCATGGCAAAAATTATTTATAATTTAATTAAAATTTATTAAATTTAGAAAATATTACAATTATTTTAATTAATTAAAATATTTCAAATAATTTCCGTTTAAAACGTTTATTTATTTATTTTTTTAAACGTTCAAGAAGAGAAATTTTAATTTAATTTATTGTTTTTTCCGACTTCGACATCTCAGCT